ACAAACAAGAAAAAGGTGTACTTTGCCAAATGGAAATCCTGAAAGTCTTCTCTTTATGAAGAAACAATTATTGATAGAAATAATAGCTCCTGATGCTGGAGCCAAACTATTTCACAGGGAGTTGATTTGGTAGGTTGCTTGTTTGAGAAGGGGCTCTACTGGATCAGGAAATGCTTTCCCAAACTGGAAGCACAGCTGTACCTCTGTGTGCTGTCCTGGTTGCACCTAACCCTCCTTGGGAAGCAGCAGCAGCTGCTGCAGTGTGGTTTTGCCTTTGGAGTGCTGCAGCCTTTCTGTGGGAGAGGACATCTTCACCTTCTCCTCCGTGAGCAGGCCTGCCAAGACTCCTCTGTTCTGCACATCTCGGGTGAGTAGGACATCCCCTCCTTCCACAGGTGAACCCAAAGCCTTGGACACCACCCTGGGGCCCAGGTGTGCACTTGGGATCTCAGCTTTGGCTGAAGTAGTCCCAACCTCATGCTGTTTGTGATGAAATGGAAAACAGGGTTAAATTCCCAGCTACTCAGGTACTTGTTACTCTCTTCAGAGCAGCACCTGTGTCACATGGATCACCTGAAAGCTGTCAGCAGGTGCCAGCAGCTGGGCCTCATTTGGCTGGTATTGGCAGAATATTCCTCAAGAGAGGGACAGACCTCTCTCCCCCAATGCATTTATGCAGAACATTTTTTATGTGACACTCTGGCCTTTCTTTTGCCCTGGTGAGTTCAAACAGAGCTGCTGCCAGCTGTGGTTATGGGAAGTGCTCTGCAGCAGTGCTGCTTGGTTGGGATGGGCAGTACTTGGCAAATGTAGCTTGAAATCCCTTGTATTTTCTATCAGTGAATTGCTGATGGAAACGCTGTAGGATCTGGCAAGAGAAGATGGGATGGTCAGAGCGGGGGTTTCTCTGGAGGAAGTTTGTGCTGTGGTGCTACTGCAGGCGGAGCTAAATGAGTGCTCAGACTTGGGAATATTTCTGCAGTTCTTGGCTGTGTTGTGCAGCTGTGTGTGTATCTGTTATTGTTTCTTGCCCTGACATCCTCTTGGTAGTCCCTCACTTCTCTGCAGCACTTTGTCCCTGTTCAACATCCCAAAGAGCTGATCTGATACCAAGGTAATGGGAAGTGAATTTCACTGCAGTTTTAGTCAGGACATGATTGGTTTTAGTTGTATTGAATAAGAAAGTGAATTTCACTGCAGTTTTAGTCAGGACATGATTGGTTTTAGTTGTATTGAATAAGAATGGCCTAGGTAAGGTGCCTATCTAAATTGTAGTTTTTCCACTCTATGTCCTAAATTACATATTCATAGAGATTTCAGTGTGCTTGTGGTATGGCATACTTCTTTTTTCTTTCTCCCAGGATAATTCCAGGGGAATTACGGATCACTATATTGTTTTTGAGAAACTGGGTTTATCCTCATTAAATAGAACCAGAGATGGGCCATTCTGAGAGTGCTGCTCTAAAGCAGTGAGACCTCCCCCATACAGGGTTAAGATGTTTGTGTAACACTTGAAATGAGTTGCTTGCATGGATTTACCATATTTCATCATTAGATTTCATAATTTCATCATTAGATGAAATTTCATCATCATTAGGTGAAATCCAAAATAGTTTACTTTTATGCAGAACCAACCTAAGATCTTCAGTAAACTGATGCAGTTAATGATGCTTCACAATTTAAAGCTGCTCTTTAAAAGCTCAGGACAAAAAAAAAGAGTAAGAAATGGTTTTAGATTTTGTTTATATGTACTGAAATTCAACTATGTTTAACCTAGAGCTCCTCAATTCAAATACAACCATTGTCATGAAGTAAAAAAAGATTAAAACATAGTAAGTTTGAAAGAATAAATTCTAACTTGTACGAGTACTTTCAGTTGAGACTTATTATCAAGAAGCATATTGTTAGAAAAGGAGTGTAAAAAAATTCACAACTATTTATATATTGTAGGTAATACAGCTACTTTTTTTTTAATTAATTGAGATAGTGAAAAGCATAGTGTTGAAACCAAAGAGATGTGTGTATTTAGTAAAATCTGAAATTGCACACAACTTTGGCATTGGATCAGACATTGTGGTGTGTGCTTTGGAAATGATGTTGCATTGTGTGAGAATAGAGAAAAAGGGGTTCCCAAAATGTGATACTTGCTGTTTGCTAAATGGACAACATTTGAGAAATGATAATTTATTATTTTATTTTTTTTCTTCAAGTTATTACAGTATTTTTCTTGTTGCTGTGTCAGCTCTGAGCTGCAAAATGTTGTAGGCACAGCTCAGTCTGGTTGTGTGGTGACTTTGGTGCTATCAGCAATAGCAATGTCCAGTAACACAAATTACTTTGTACCTTGCTCTCCCATTTTGCCTTGCTTATTCTGCGACCAAGGGATGCTTTTTTCAAGCCTCTGTAGCTACAAAAACCCAAATCTGACCTTGTGAAACAAAACAAGTAGTGTAATTCAAGCAGTGTTTAAACATTCAGCATTTAAATGCTCTAGATGTCAGTATCTCCTGTTAACTGGCAATTATCTCACCTATTATTCTGGGGAGGAGGGAACAGTTTTGGTACTTCTTTGAAACCTGCACTTTACATGGTTCACACTCTTGGCTTCCTGTTTCCAAAGGAAACAAAGCCACTTAAAAGTCAAATTCTCTTTGAAAATAAACCAAAAACAAAAACCAAAAACAAGAAGAGAAGCAACACCTTCCTAGTGGGTACTTGCTGCTTGCACCTACCACTTCCTGCCCTGGAATTTTTTTTCATAGTGCTAATTTAGTTTAAAAAGAAAACAAAAATCCTGCTAGAGTGAATTCCCCTGACAGAAAATCTCAACTAAATACCTACTTCTGTGCTTTAGACATTGAAGCTGACTGCAAGTAGGAGGGTTTGATTTGCTTGTCTTTTTTGTCATCTTAAAACCATCAGTTTTACCTAACAAGCATTTTGGGTCGGTTGCTAGTTCTGTGCTTTTCTGCTGTTTCCAATTGCTGTTTGGATGTAGCTTGAAAGAAAGAATGAGTAAATGCAAAATAGAGTTTCTCATTTAAAAACTGGCAAAACCAAAGATGATTGATAGAAAAATACATATATTTATGTAAAAGTGAAGGAATCAGTATCAGTATAGCTATCAAGCTATAATAATTAGACCAGCGACCACTGGGAGGAAGAAAGGTGTGAAAACCAGGGTTAAATTACTGACCCATAAATATTCTTGACAATTAGCTACTAAGAAAGAGTCAATACTTGATAAAATTAACACCATAAAGCAGCATCTTCATTAATGTATTTTGAGAATGATTTTAATTTATTTTTTTTTGTTCCAGAAGGGGGTAATTGTCTGCAAGGGTAAATATTGATGGGAATCAATCAGTGGAAGTAGTGTTGGGCTGATTTATGGCAGGAGAGGATTCAGTCCTGGGACTTTAAATCTAGAAATGCAGGAATGGCTCATTGGACTTTTGTGAACAACAACTCACTTTCAAAGGACCGAGAAAGATTAGGATATTTAAAAAGACTTTTTTTAATAATTATTTTTTTAAATGTAGGCATGGTAGCGGTAGAGCTGTCACTATGGAGTGTTTGTAACAGTTCTTTCTAAAAAATGTGTAACTTGTTTTCAATTTCTATAATAGTTTCTTTCCCTTTATAACAGGAAAAAAAATTGTGAACCAGAACTATTTTTGCCTTCTTCCAGCAGCAACTGGTGGTTCTACAGCAAGAGAAGGACTAAATGAAAGTGCAGCAGGTAAGAAACCAAATGTGATACTTGGGGACCTTCATTAAGTGTTTTAGTGTTAAGCAACACATCTTTATTTTATTTTTATGTTAAAATGTGGTATCTCCTGCACCTATGCACAGACTGAACTTATGTGGAAGTATTTTAAGGCATGGAGTAGTGCTATAATGTTGTTAAGGTTACACAAAGAGTTGGGGACTTTCCCAGCTATCCTGTTTTTGTCCGAGTGTTGGCCACATGATTATATTTTCCAGCTGTCATCACTATTTTTAAATAGGCATTTTGGAACCTGCCTCTGCTCTGTGAATCAAAATACTTATCTAAGACTGTTTAGATGTTGATCAGTCATGAAGTTAGGGACATGAATTCAGGGTATGTCTCTTTACTTTCTTCTTCCATGAGACAAGGGAATAGTTTAGAACTGGCAGCTGTTGACCAGGCAAGCGATGATCCCTTCTGTTATAGATGCAGAATTATTTGTGCAACACAACTCATTGGAAATCCTTGCCTATCCATGGTAGTTTTTTTTCTTCATAGCTGAATCCATCCTCTTGGGAAAAACAGAACTTAACCCAGCATTCATTATTTGCTTGTTGCTCCCTCTCTGCTGATCGCTCTGTTCTGCTCTTTTGGAGGCTCCCTGTCTTTGCTGGGGGGCTGGTTAGCCTGCTCCACCTGAAATTCCACATCCTTTCTTTGGCTGAGTCTGAGACTTGTTGCAGAAATCACCAACCACAGGCAGCCAGCTACAGAGTCTCACCAGAATCTGAATCAGGAGTTTCTCTTCTGATTAAGGTTGGAGTGATAGCTTCATCTTTTTGCACTGTACCAAAAACCAAATTATTTTACAGAAAGGCTATTACCATACTCTTCAAGTATGTTAATTTACTTCAGGGAACCCACAACAAAGTTAATTAGCATGGATTGGTTGTAGCCCAACCTTTTTATCATAGTTTAAGACATGCCATGTCTTCCTACCTTTAATACCATTTTCTTGCCAGGATGTTGCTGCCATCATCTTTCAGCTGCCATGGCCTTAAGTTATCACTTGGCACTTTTTGATCTTTAAGTGTTCTTCAAAAGGTAAAGCAATCATGTTTAATCATGGCTTTCATAGGAAGCAATGAATTTTAAAATAATGAAGTTTATGGGAATCCCTCAAATTAATTCTATTAAATTGTTTTAGTAGGCATCTAATTGTTCAGTCTCTCTAGGGAGAATAAGACAAGTGTCACTGACAAAATAACTGAGCTCTCAAAGAAAGGAATGACTTTTTGTGTTCTGTTTTTTTTTAATGAAGAAAGTTTATTGCAGGTCTTTCTTTTACAATTCTAGTAGAAAGTATAGCTAAGAGAAAAAATGAACTATGACCAATTCATAAGAACGAGCAAAGGAAAAGGATTAAGCTGAATACATACTCTATTGAACTAAGCATTATGGTAAAGAGAAAACCTCACCTATTTTGTGACTGCAGGTTAAGGAGAGCTGCTTCCCAATGCTGGTTTCCAGTGCCTGCACCAGGTGAATAGGGGGATAGCACTGACAAACCTCTGATGGCTATTGATGGCAGCTCCTCTATCAGCATGTCCTAGAATCAGGAGCTGCTCAGCTCATCATAGCTTGGATAACATGCAGCAGGCTTTCCCTTCACAGGCCCAAAGTAATTTTATTTTATTTTATTTTATTTTTATCTAACAGGTAGTCCGACCCTGGAGAAAGGTGTGGATGGGACACTTGTGGTTAGGATAGAAAATGGCAAAGCAAAAAGGCTTCCTTCACTCCAGTCTTTGTAACAAATAAACATCCACTGCTCATGTTTACATCCCAAGTTACTTTATTTAAATTCATATATCTAAACACTACCCTGCCTGCAAGTCAGATAACAAACTTGATGGAAAACAACCATCCTTCCCTTTCTATCTTCAAATGTTTGTCTCGTGATATTTTACAGTTAGTCCACTAAAAAATTCTTTGTGAAAATTTGCCTCTTCAAGTTTAGTAGAAACTTGGCTAAAAATAGAGGCATTGGAATAGAAGGCAAATAGAAATTTTCTTCCCTTGTCTGCCTCTCCCACTTTTCTGAAAATTCCCATCAGAAGAACAGAACAGGGCCTGCTGGTGGACGTGAGGCCAGCTAACTGTTCCCCACCTCACTGCTCATATAAAAATATGGTTAGCTACACCCTAAGTTAGTCTATCTAGAGCCCAAGGCTGTGTGAAATGGAGTTAATTATTGACACGGAGAACTTAAAAAACCACCTAACATTCCTGGAGTCTTTCCCCTACTGCTCTTCCCAAGATGTGGTTCGTTCACCCCCTGCGAGAGAGAGGCTCAGACCTGGCTGGGGCTTGCTATGAGAGGTGCTCACAAACTGAAAACAGTCATGGGAAATGAAGAGAAGTGTGGCCAGAGTGTGGGGAGCTTCGGGTGGGTTTGCTTTCCCCAGTCCTACGCAGCAGGCTGATCCCCAGCGAGCTCGGGGGGAGGCGGCTCGGGAGCAGCAGGGAGGAGGGGCTGGGACCCAGCCGCACGAGGAGCAGCAGCTGCAGCAGCAATTGCAGAAATGTTCTCCACTCCAGCTCTGCCAGAGTCCTGGCAGCGCTTGCTGCAGAAAATCTGGCTCTCTTTATCTAGAGCTGTGTTCTACAAACAAACAAAACAAACCCAAGGCAAAACATGAAACAACACTTAAATACGGCCCTGTCTTAAGGGTTAAAACAATCTACAAGACATGAACTGCATGCAATACAGCCAGGATAAAAAAGGAGAAATAACATTAGAAATCTTTTATATAATGAATTGTATGATTTTTGTGATGCTGACTTTAGGAAATGTAAGGAAAACTTCTCTTCCATATGTATGCTTGCCATGACGTTGCAGGTTTAAAATTTTTGTCTTGCAAGTCTGATGTGGAAAAAAAGATGGCACGAGTGGTTGTGATAGAGAAGGAACCTGTCACAGTAACTATTAGCAAAATTTATGTACCTGTGTTTTTGCAGACACAAGGAATCAGGTGATGCTTACTGAGAACTCAGTGCTACAATTCTGGAACAAACAACACAGTACAGAAGGAGAGCCCCTGGGGAAGGTGACAGAACAATTTTTTCTTTTTTCAAGCAAAGGGACTGCTTTTCTGCTTAGTGGTGAGAGTAGGAAAATGACCTCTCATGGTTGCAAAAAGGCATAATTTCTGAATTCTGCACTTAAAAATGAGTTTTCAGGAGAAGGGAGCAACAGGTTGGAATAAAAACTGAGAATTCTGTAGTGAATAGGTTGATTATCTGGAGTATGTGGTACATCTGCTGAAGATAACAATTTCCATACCCTCAAAGATATGTGCTAATTGTAAAGGTCAGGTGATTTCCCTTTTCCACAAAAATTTATTATTTTGATTGGACTTGCTTTACTAATGTGAAAATTTATGTGTTTTTAGTTGGGTTTGACTAATACACTATTCACTGAAGTATTTAATACTGAAATAATTTTCTGAGACAAGTCAAATTTAGCAGGGTTCATTTTTTTTTCAGATGTGTTTATTGTATCAAAGTCATCAAGGACAGCAGATACGAGGTACTTACCCTCTTCTTTTTTGTTGTTGTTATGTTGGGTTTTTTTAACTCAAGTTACATCACTACATCCCTGCATTGCGAGGTACAAGGAGAAAATTCCATAGTCCACAACTGATATTCTGCTACTGACAATCAACACTGCAAAGGGAGCATGCAAGGAAAGGAGCAGCTGAATTGGATCTGAGTTTTGAGATTAGTGATGGTCTAAAGGAATTTTATCATTATCAAGGCACCATTGCATTGCCTTTTTTTCTTGCTGGAAAAAGTTGTAAATAGGGGTTTCTGCTATTTCAGTGGCAGGCAAAGTTATATAAAAGGGGAAGGACATGCTTTCAGTTCATGCTGACAGTGATTTTCTCCTGTGCTGTCCTCATAGCAGCAATACAGTTCTATGTAATGCAGTTTAGGGTTTTCTTTTCAATTTTACTGTTGCTAAGCAAGAATGTTTTTTATTTATCTAGGACTGATTATCACTTGTCTGTCTCTAAATGAAGTTCAATTTTAAATAGAAACAATGTTTAGTTCTTTGCTTCTGTCTTCAAAAGGGTCTCATCTTTTTCTAGCTGTTTTTAGATACAATATGGATATAGACATGCAGAAAGCGACTGCCAGGAGAATAAACCAAGACGTGTCTGAGGAAGTAAAAAATAGTTGTATTGGTGTTTGCTTAGCCCATTTCAGATATGCATCACTCAAGACAGAACTATTTTTTCCTAAGTGTTTAAAATGTATTCCTTTGCTGATTTGGTGTGGCTGTACAGCTTTTTCCACTTCAGACTGGCTTAGTTATTTCTCCTTCCTTGTTACCAATGGAGACCATGTACTTTTTGTGCAGCAGAACAAAGCATCGCAGTTAGTACGTACCATTGCCTTGGACCTACTCAGAGGGAAGCAATGCAGGCATTGGGAAAGGAGGAAAAAAGGAAGAAAGCAAGGGACAGAAACTAGACTTACTTTAAGCAGAACTAACACAATTGCAACAAATTTAGATTTACAGAACATTTCTTAATTGACCAAAAAAAAAAAATCAGTAATGAATTAAGAGCAACATGCTTTTGGGGGCAGCAGGAGCCTCCTGTGCAAGGACACTGAAGTGGGGATGTGCAGTTTTACTTATCTGCCACAGGATGGGATTATCTGCATGGGCCAGGTGACAGTGTTGGAATGAGGTGATGCTAAAGGGGCTCCAGTGAATGTGCAGGTGGACTGAGAGAGCAATGCACTGCAATACACAGTGAGAGTTACAAAGTGTGCTTGTCTGAAGCTGAATGTTGGTAAGCAATGAGTGCTGGAGCAAGTGAAGAACTTCTGAACACAAAGGTAACTACATTTCAATGCTCAAGGTAAACCAGGGCAAGAATAACAAATTGAGGGCTTAATCCTCATTAGATCACAGTGTTTTGAGCAAGATTTTACTTTTCCTTTCAGCATTAACTGGGAGCTGCATTCAGCAATTAATAATTATGCATTTACATCCTTCCATACCTGTTAGAAGGAAATAAAGCAGGAAAAGGTAAAATGAGGTGAACTTTCCTGGCTGAAGGAGTGTCAGTAGCTAACAGAAAAAACTCACACCAATAGGAAGCCAAAGCTAGGCTGTGTCAGAGATCTGAGACAGGCTTAAGTGGCATGCAAGTTGGAGAGGGGCTGAGAGTTAGAATTAAAATTGCTCTTATTACATATAGTGCATTTTATACCAGTTTTCAGCTTCAGGCTTATCCATAGTCTCAACAGTATAAAGAATGAAGCTCTGAAGTCCCTCTCAAACTGTCAAGTCAAACTGTCAAATGAAATGTAGACAAGAACATGAACCTGAAATCCATTTCCTGACTTATTTTTATGTTCTCATTTTTCCTACATTTAAATTGTTTGCCTATTTACCGCACATAAATGTATTTGCAAAGACAGAGATGTAGGCAGAAACATTTTATTTAAATTTTACTGGTTCTTAGACGATTAAAAAAATTATTCTTGTTAACATAAGCGGTCTGGCCTTTGAAATAATACTAATGGGAGGGTGAGGGTGAAAGTCGCTGTTATGTTACCATGGATGGTTTTACTTTCTTTAAGTTACTGAAGATACATTTTGTGTGCAGTGTCCATCCTTGCATCAGACAAGGCTGGGCCCTGGTAAGATCAGGAAGAAAGGAAGTTTCTGGAATGGAGTCTGGTTTCCTGGCACAGGTAGTGTTGAACAACACTATGCTCAAGATGAAGCAATACTTGGTCAGGCACAGAGGTAGACCCTAGTTAACTAGGTGGGCAGTATGATAAAAAACCTCTTGCTTTTGAAAATGAAATATTTCAAATTGTTAATAAACTTCATTTTAACATACACCTACTTAGTGTTCATTGAAAGCTCATTTTTATCTCTTGGGCAGCACACTGTGATAGACTTGGTTGCTCTCAAGAAATGATGAGACAATCCACATTATACATCAATAAAGACTAGAAGTTGAGACTTCTAATTTTGGGTTTGCTATTCTTGCACCACATGTGCTCATAGAGCACTGTCAGGAAAATATGTAGAATATACTATCAATGTATAGAAATGTTCATTTCTCTTACCATGATGACAGAAACCCCAGCAGACGTGTTATTTTGCTTGGGTAGGGTGTTATTAAAGTGCTGCTTCAGTTTACCTGTTACTTCAGCTTGCATATTATTCTCCTGGGAAGCATCATCCTGCATAAGAAAGAACACAATATTCAAGTTAGGGAAAAACACAAAAGTTTTTTATCTTCAGGTACTTTCTGCTTTTCAATGAACAGTGAATATTCAGACAGGCAGTCCAAAAGTAAACACACTCTGCTACATGAGAGACAATTCCAGAGGAAAGGAACAGAGCAATCACTCACTGCTTTATGAATGAACATTTCTATTTCTTAAATAGACATGTGACACTTCAGTGCATTGCTCTGTCCCACAATTATAAGCTGCAGGTTTGATTCAAGCAAGTTAAAAATAACATGCTTGAAATAATCTTGAAAACGAAAAGCATATTTTTCACTTGGATTTCTTTCAAATCACCACTTTAAATGGCCCATCATGTCCTAAGTCTGTAGGTGTTATCAAGTATTATAAATACACTTGAGAGGAGCTGTTATCCATTGATACACTTGTTAATAGTTGTTTTCTCTTGTGTCAGGGAACTCCACAGATTGTATTCAGTCCCTCTTTTAGAACATGTCTGGAAATAAGCATTGACTGGCTCCATGTAAACCTAGTACTTATTAATAATTAATTGATTTTAAATCAATGAGCAATGCACTCTGGTGTTCCCCTTTGCTGCTGCCTGAGATGATGAAGGACCTGGTAGGCATCAGCTTGGTGTCTGTGGTAAATTAGGTGTTATATTTGCTGATTGTACTGATGCTTCTGAACAGTGCAGGTTAATGGTTAGATTTACAGGTTTAATGTCAAATTAGAGACAAGGGAAATGTGATTTACTCACTGACACCCAGGGATGGCTTAGGATCTGTGCTGCTGTGTACCGGGCTTCAGCATTCACATGTAGCATCAGGCTGATTAACTCCTTCATGGAAAAAGAAAAAAAGAGAGTTTGAAGGGCATGGGAAAGGATACTAAAACTGAAAATAATGTTGCACCAAGTTCTTCTCAGTGCAATGTTCTTGATACCTGGATGGGAAAAAACCAACCCCAGCTGATACCAGAAGCAGTGGTACCAGTGTGATTTAAGTGGAACTTAAATTTGCCCTTTAGGATTAAGAGTCTGCAAGGTAGTGTGTTTGATATCAGCTTCTTAACTGTACTCATGTTTCACAGAGTCTATTGAAAACAAATGGAAAAGAAATGTTAAAAAAATCAGCTCTAATGTTCCACTTTGTTCTCTGTGTATTCATGAACATGACCAGAACAAAAACAAACCTGGGAGACATGAGATCCTCTCTGGGCAATGCACATGCACTCAGTAACATTACATAAAAAACATTACATAAAAAACCACAAATCAGAGACAAGAATCTGCACCTGAAAGTCAAGAAACTGATGAAATTATTTGAAAACGTTCTCTTCTGTGTTGCTGCAGAAGAATAGAAGATATTGAGCTAAGTCCCTCCCTCAAAAAACCTTTTAAAGCCTCCAAATTATCATCTTCATATTTTTATCAAGATTATTTCAAGATTATCTCAAAGGCGCTATCCATTGATTCAGTTTGGGAAATGGTTTCTTCAAGCAGATGATAACGCATCTCACTGAGAGCTTTCCCAACCAGCTAAGTTCTTTAGTCTGTGGAAGTTTGAAGTGAGACATCACCTTGAATACCAAGATTGTTTGTTCAGAATGCACATCTGGAAATCTGTGAGATGACTGGGACTTGGGAAATGTTGGCAAATGGATAAACACCCATTGGGAAATGCAGAAAAAATGCAGAAAAAAATTCAACTTCTCATTGGCCAGATAAAAAACCACCTCCACTTGTTACTGAGTCCTCAGATATTATTTAGAGCATTTTAGTGAATTAACCTAAGAGAAATGGGGCTTACAACTTGAATCTTTGTCCTGCAGATACAATCAATTTAAACAAAACTGCAATGATCACAGAAGAACTGCTGGCAGTGGTAATTAGCCATGGCTGCACCTCTTGAAAAGCTCTAATAAATAAATACCTCAAGTAAAAATAGGACAAAATGCTTATGCAACCAATCTACAGAGCAATAATTTTCCTTTTTTAAAGAGTGACAAGAGGGAAAAATTCAGGGACACATGTATTTTACATCTGAAGCACTGAAGCTGCTGTAAAGTGCATCATGAAGTGAGCTGGGCAGTGTGTGACATTCCCTGGATGCAGCTGGCATTCTGCTACCCTTGCTCAGGCAGCCTGAAACACCTGAGCTTTCATCAAGCACTGCTCAGCCAAACCCACTGAAAAGCCACAGCAGCTGGGGCACTGGGCTGCTCTGCATCTTCCAGGCTGCCTTCCCAGCTGAGCACAGGCTGCTGCACAGGGCTTCTCAGAAATGTTCTTTCAGGTGGGAAGAAATATCAGTACCTTTGCTGAATCAGTGATGTTATCCCAGTAGGGAGAGGGAAATTCCAGCTTCCCCACAAGTATCTGATCAAAGAGGTCTTCCTGAAGGTTGTTTTCACTGTAAAACAGCAGTAATGAAAAACATTATGAGAGAAAAAGCCAATTTGTCATGGGGAATTTAACTTGATTTGGGGATGGAACAGAAATTATGTTAATAACTACTAGAAATACATAATTTAGAAGTTTATACAGTGATATAGCTCTTCTGAGCCAATACATTGAGGTAGCTTTTCCACTGAAATAGGGGCTGCAGAGTTAACACACATTTATCAATCTCACTCATGACCTGGTTCTACTAGCATGATATGGACATTCTCTGTGCCTTCCCTTAAAACTCTAATCAAAGAATACATTTTCTTGCACAATGTGTCTTTCAAAACACATTTTCAGCTTTAAATGTGAAATAACAACACGAAAAACCCAAATACGTGAACTACTATTTTTCCCCATCAACAATACATATATAAAATAAATTTATAAAAAAATATATAATATATATTTTAAAAATATATAAAATATATATGTAAAATGTATTGTTTGCAAGACATTTTCGTTCAGTGAGGTGTTTTAGTTAAACCTCTTTTGTTAAGTATCTTGCTGTAAAAATGAACAAACAGGCCCTGCATTAGTAATTGATATGTTAAGAGCAGAATTCCCTGTTAAAATGTGCCAATTCCTTCTCATTCTCTGGCAAAAAAAAAAAAAAGAAAAAAAAAAAAAAAAAAAAAGGAAAAGCGCCCATTTGATTTTCAGTAGAAAAACCCCACGGCTGGTTTGACACTTCCCAAAAGGCCGAGCACAGTTCAAAAGGAGGGATGAACACATTTTTTTTCCCCTCTCCTGTTTTGCCGCTGCCGACGGCAGAGGGCAGCGCGCACCCGCGGATGGCGGAGCCGGGATCCGCAGGGAGACAAAAGGAAAAGCGGCTCTGCCCTCGCGCACCCCCAGCACTAAAACACCTGCCCCCGTAGGAAAACATATCGCAAAAATTGATCCCAAACCTAAAATGAGGGACGAGTGAAAACCACGCAAAGAAATTAATAAAGCCGTGAGGAAAACACATCATTCTGATCCACCTTTTTTCCTCCCCCAAGGATGCCTCCTTCAGGGAGAAAGGTCAGACTGGTGCTGAAAGAATTTGATTGCTTTTGCTGGGTTTGCCTTTGGCACTCACCTGCGAAAAGGTGGAAATCCACATAACAGGATGTAAGTGATCACACCTGCAGCCCAAATATCCACCTTTAAGCCATACCTGAGAAAATAAGTCTGTGTTACTTGTGCTGAATTAACAACAACAACAACCACAAAAAAAGAGTCATTCCAATCAAAAATAAATTATGCTGACAGGATTACATGAGAATCTGTGCTGGGTTACTTGCTGCTGATGGGGTGATGGATTTTGTGTCTGAGCATCTTTTTGTTCACACCTTTACAATCTTTAAGAAACCATGATTCTGTGATTTTTTTTTTTTTCCACCTCAGGGCTCTCCAGGGCCTTCTGAATATACTCAAATCCAAGGCAGTATCCAGGTTTCCCCATCCAGAGCCACCAATGGTTAAAGACAAGGATGTGCTTTCTCAGTCCCCACAGTGAAGCAACTCTCTCAAAGGTTATCATGTGTTGCTAAGCAACAAGACACACCAATTCTCCAGCCTCTCCAGCGAGCAGCACGGGCAAGAAGAGCTGCACTTTTCTTTCAAAGCACAGAAATTAAAACACTGCAGGTCAAAAAGAGGCCTTTTCTCCTATTCAGTGGATTCAGTTTGTCAAACCCTCAAGCACGCAGACGAGGTGCCCTCTGACACCGGAGCTGACTGCAGCTGTGAAATGTTTCTCAATGCAACAAATGCACTGAACAAGGAGTGAAACAGCACAAACAAAACCTCCCTCCATCAGTAAATTCAGAGTGGTCACAGCTATGGCAAAAGCATGGAATGGAGATCTCGAATGTCTAAAAGGAGAGAGGATTTGTGATAATCTGCCATTGGTGAAAATTCACCATTTTACAAAATTTTATTTCTGTATTTATGCAATGACCTGTAAAATACAGAATAATGGGATTGTTCAATTGTTATCAAACAGGATGTGTCACCCAAAAGGGTCACTTGAATCAGCGTAATCTAATCAGAACTGTCCTGAGAACAGGCTTAGACTAGGTGAGCTCTGCAGCCTCTTCCAGTATAGATGATTCCATTTCTAATGCAAACACTGTGTTTTGCCTGTCTGTTCTTCCCCAAACAGCTGCCAGGGGTGGTACAGTGGGCTCTGGATGCTGAGGTGAGGCAGGGAGCACAAACAAATGGACTCCACTGCACCAGAGCTGGTCCTGGGAAGGTGTGAGAGTAGGGAAAGAAAAATTCTGGGAGCAGGCAGAGCAAGGACACTGGTGGCCTCTTGGAGGAACTGGGAGTGGTGCCCTTGGGTGGTTTGGTTACAAAACAATAGAGGGACAGCCTGTTGAAGCATTTGGATTTTACAAGATCCTACAACCAGCCAAAAAAGAGTGGTTAGCAGGCCTGTGTCATGCCAGGCAGCCATGCTCACCCTGTCTCTGCAATGATTTCTGGAGCCACATAGGTGGGTGTCCCACACACCGTGTACAAAGGGCCTTCCACCACCGTCGCCAGTCCAAAGTCTCCAAGTTTCAAAGACTTGGTTCCATCTGAATATTCACACACCTAAAATCAGAGAAATTAACACAGAATGAGGAGGAGAACATCTGCATTTTTATATCCTCTAATTTCTTTGGGAAAACATCATCACCATACGAAGAAGATGGGAAAAAAGGTAATTTCCACAGCCCTGTAGGGCAAGAAGAGAAAAAAATTATATTCCCATTGATTGCAGCTGGAGCAAATTTTCAATGGAGCTGTCTGCCAGCTATGTAGGTCAGACCATGACACAGCCTCGAGCAACTAGAGGTGGAAAAGAAAACTCAGTCCTTGAATGTTGAGAAGTTTTAAATATATTCAGGAGAATATAATACTCTACTTTCATTTGACTGGGACCTAGAGTTTAAAATGGGACTGGCAGCTACAATCAGATTTGCTTAACATCTTGTTATCTTAGCATAAATCTAGCCAACATACTGGGCAATTTTATCAGCAAATGTCTTCCCTGCCCTTGGTCTGGGCAAATTCAGTTTAGGTTTCTGTGCAGACCCAACTGCACCTTACCAAAAGGCCAATGAACAATCTAGCACTGAGTCATTTTATTGATGAAAGAAGCTGAATTTAGTTAAAAAGAAAAGTGCTATACAAGAGCGATGGCAGGAATAAACCAAACCAGACCAACACAAAGGAAACATTCCCCTAATAAATTCATCTCAGTTTCGCTCCTATAGTTAAATGTTTATATTAACATAATTTCAAAGACATCTAGAATGGAGGACCCCAGGATCTCCAGAGTGGCTGAATTTATTTGCCTTCCTCGAACATCTGAGCACTGCAATACCTTTCTTCATTCCCCTGTGTAATTCATATCAGTAATGGAAACACTTGTTTTCCTTTATATAACACTTTCATACCAGCTATGATTCTTAGGGTTTGCATTTTTTAAATGCATGACTAGCAAAGGGAATGTAATTCCCATCCAGACAGGCTGGATGACCCTGTGCAAAAAAACGAACTATGTGCAATTACAGGTAGCAGTTGATGGGAATTATTTGCATTTATATTCAATACCAGGATGTTATCTCAACATTCTGCTGCTGTCAATCACAGTGAGTAAGATTTGCATCTGTTGAGTAATCTCTTTAGGCTTTCTAGGCAGAAAGGGCATTTGTGCCTATTTATAACTGATTCAATCTCTAATGAGAGCTTCAAATTTCTTTGGACTGTCTGTGTTTGGAGATACACTAATAGTATGTGAGACTTCTACCTTCATTTTCTCTCTCAAGTGCCCTGTTGCTGTGGCTATATTTTCCAGGAGAAGCTTTCCCCCATGCTTCTTTTTGCTAAACAATCTAATTTATTTGAAGGTTTATTTAAATTGCTAAACACTGTCAGTGGAATTACTGGGGAAAGAATTGACTATTAATTAGGAAATATTTTCAGCTTGTAGCCCTGTCCTTGTTACAGTTCAAAATCCAGTCTGGGATAAGCTGTGACTCCTACTCTCAGTTTGAACTCATTAAACAGGACTGACAAACACCAGAAAAGACTTTTAAGAAATGTCTCAAGCAGGGGAGATTATGGCCCTGCTTGTGCAGTGTGTGACACTTAATATCCAATATGTAATGCTCAAGTGTAACCTCTGTGGGTAAGTGAGACAGCACACACTGATCCCATTCTGTGGGCAGGGGAATAAAAAAGCAGACTTCATGGTAATTCTTGTCAGCACAGTTATTTTATGTCTCTGCTGAAAACAAAAGTTGCCTAAGGAAAAGAATAAATGAATGTAAAGGGTTAATTCCCAGCCAGAATTCTGGTAAAGCATCACAAAGATGATCCTACAATGACAATGAAAGGAAAAAACCACTGGCTTCAGCTGGTAGCCATAGGATTGTTGAAGAAATGAAGAAATGCTCTCAGCCCACCTTTCTCCCACTTGCAAACTGATAAATAATTCATTGGCATAGCTTTAAAATTCACTGTTTTGTGAGACAATACTGCTTATCCAAAAGGCAGCCAATCAAATTGTAAATACAGCTAGGTCTAAGGACAGGTTTGAGCACAGCTCTCCTGCATTGAAGTGATTGCTATCTCATGGCAAAAGATTTACTTCATGCATACTTATTCTAAATTAATAAGCCTGCTGTTCTCTGCTGTGCTCCTTGACATTTCTACACAAGCATTTGCATTAATGAGAACAAAGTAAGAGAAAATACTGGAAAAAAACTGGGACATACCAGAAGATTTTCTGGTTTGATGTCTCTATGCACAATGTTGAGGCCATGCAGATATTTGAGAGCACTGGCTAAATTGTAGACCATGGCACTCCCATCTCTCTCTGTGTATTTTGTAGATGAAGTGATGGCATCAAATAGGTCTCCTCCCTATGGAAAGGAAAAAGATAATTGTTTAAAAAATAATTAAGATGGTATTTGGTTAAAAAAACCCCAAACCCTAAATTATGTAAAATCTTCCCTCTAAAACATATGCCCAAATTCCCATTAAACAGCAAAAAAAAGAAAGAAAAAAAAAGTTTTGCAGAAAGATGATCTTGTCACCAAGATACTAGACTGGGACTTTGGTCAACTGCATTAAATTCTTAACTCTTCTCCAGGCTTCTAGTGTCTGAGCTTGGGTAAATCACAGATTTTTTTTCTATTGATCTTCCTATCTTTGATCACTCATTTATATTACCTACAGGTACAGGCATACAGCATCCCTTTTCTTCATCTTATCAGTATATTCAACATATTGAAAAACTGCCCTGATTTTGAGTAAAGCCTAAAATAAATTAGCCCCATAATAATAAAAAAAAACAAAACTAAGAAATATTCAGCAAATTCAAATTTCTGCAGATATTGCAAGAAATACCAAATAAATATAGCTGAAGAGGGAAAAAAAGATAAACACATTCCAACATAAATGAACCGGCTGATTGAGATACATCAAAGTGCAGAACCTCCAGGTGATTTCTGAATGTGTCAGGCTCTGTTTATGGATGCCCTATTCCTCTGGGAATACACAGCAACGTGTGAGTGAGTTACTGATGGGGCATTTTCAGCCATTACAACAAATGTCATGCGGGTGTCTCCATGATGGTTTCCCTGGATACCTCTGTAGGAGTGATCTGTCTGAGCTGTGGGTGGCATTCCAAGCATTTCAATGCACACCAAAGAGAAGCAGCAATTCAGGAAATATAGGCCAAAATGGTGGGGAATTAAAACATAAAAAAATACTCTCTTGAAACCCCAAAAAGCCTATAGGGTATTAAAATAGCTTCTAGAAAGGAGGAAAGATGAGTGGGCTACAGAAATTATGTATTCAACAACTACACACTTTAGAGGTTTCCCAGTCTGGCAACCATTCTAGAGTCCTGAATGTAACAGTGCCTCAGTCAGAAATAAAAAGTGTTCCTCAAAAAATGAGCAGCGCTCCTACTGCTGTTGCTGTATGTTATTTGTATCTGACATGCCAATCAAGCTGATGTGCAGTGTGGCTGTGCATGCACAGAACTCAGACAAGAGAATGCATGAGCAGAACCTGATGCTACTCATGTATTTGGCTCACAAGGTGACAGCAAAAAGAATATTTGTGTTTTCTCCATACATGCATGAAAGGAGCATCTGTTCTCTGGTGAACTGTTTGATACAAGCAAAATGGGTGAGATCTTTTGGGTTTTGATTTTCCAGGATGAAAATTGCTTGAGTTTAATCTATTTGTCTTATCTATTAAGATAAATTCATTAGAGAGTTCATTTCTTTCATTCAATTTATTACCTAATGAGAATAGTGAAATTTGTTAGTAAATCCATACTACTCTCATCCCTGTATATTGTAGGCATGATATAAAGCCCACTGTCCACTTTTCTCTAGACTGTGCACATTGCAAAATTACCTCAAATCTGTGTTAATATTCAAATTACAACTGAAGAGAGAGAAATCCCATTCATAGAATTGTGTGACAGGTGCATTTTTATGATTTAAAAATGCAGGTTGCCACTGAAACCTTACTTGATTATGTCTCCCAAGATCTAAGAGTTCCCAGATACTGCTCAGATTTCACACCAACACAGAGAACTCAAAGAAGACAAACAAAGGCCCCTGAGGCTCACCTTGACCAGCTCCATCACCAGGTAGAGCTCTGAGGGGGTGTCCATCTCCTCTATGAGCATGATGATGTTGGGGTGCTTCACTCGGCGCAGAATCGACACCTCATTTTCAATCAGGTGCTCCTGTTCAGAAGAGGATGGAAGTTTATCTGGAACATGAATTTGACAATTCACTTTTCCTTTCATCAGCCAACCACTTGATCAGTGAGCATCCTTTTTGCTGATTAATTTATATAGCAGATGGTTATTTTCAGTTGCTGGATCTTAACTCGTATTTCATCACTGACCACGTTTAATTTAAAATATACTTCACAAATGAGGCATCTCCAAAAATGACCCCAGAACGTAACAGCAATTCAGGAAGTGCAGGTTAGGTTCTTATGTGGGTATTATGAGGTGAAATTTAAGTTCTTATGTGGGTATTATGAGGTGAAATTAAGTTCAGAACCTTTCTGCCCTCCAGCTGGATCACTGGAAGCTGTCACCCCTCATCAACAGTTAACATGGTCTTGATCCTCTCCAGCCTTCACCTCTCATTTGGTGGAGGTTACTCAAGGACAGATTACCCAGGATTTGGATCCAAGGACTTTATTTTTTTTAAAAGTTGTGGAGTATATTAAAGAAAAAAAAATATTCTAAGTGCTTTGGTTATGGATTTTGGTTCATTTTATATGCCTGCTCAGATTTACAATCTGCAAAATGTGTAGTAGCTCAGTTAAATTGTTGTGACTCCAACAGCTTAACAGCACGCAGACTGAGTTCAATTTCCCCTTCCCTGTGCTTCTGAGGAAGTAATGGCTTTGGAGAACAAATTAGTTTCAAATGCCTTGTTCTCTAGAACATTTTAACACTGGAGAGCAAAAAAAAAATTAGGTGTCCTTTCCACGTGAAGAATTATTTTAGTTTTCTTTTATAAATGTTGGAATATGGATATTGTATTTAGGTTCTCTGCAAAATAAGTAAAAATGCTTGCATCAGACAGGAGTATCCTTCCACCCTGGCAGGGAACAAATCATCTCACTGGACTGGGAACTTATCCATGTTGAATGCACTGATAAGGAGCATGCACTTCATGCATTTGTGAGCAGAGCATCAGGAGGAGATGTGATCCACTGTGCACAGACAGTGCCTGGAGACCTTACACCACTTCACCTTCTTTTTCTGGGGTTATTTATGGATGCATTGTGCTTTTGCCAAAGCTTTCTGTGGCTGCACAGCTCAGAAACACATGCCACGTGTGCAGCTCGATTGGTGAGAGAGCAGTGCGGCACACACGGGTTACACACCACACCTTTGGCATTCACTCTGAAAGAGCAGCAATTGTCACTCTGAGCAAACATAATGCCTGCTCCAAGCTAAGTGCTCTGGAGAGAAAACAAAACAGACAAACAGGAAGCAATTCTGTTAAACACAATGCTGAACCTCATCACCAGACAGACGTGAACAGCCACAGCACACTAAGCCTCAGGGATGGAAGCCTGGAAGTTCAAAACTAACATTAAGAGTCCAAACAAAAACTAAAATATTATTACAGCTTTCTCAACCTAAAGAACAGGGAACATATTAAATTTATTACACCCATTAATTACTACTAAGGAACAATGGCTTTATCTGTGCTTTCTTGACTAAACTGCTCAGGCATAATTAAATAAACAGTATTTTTTTTAAAGGCTCGAGAATATTGTTGAGCTACTGTTTAAAAAACTGTCCTCAAAAAATGTTGATGTAGCTAGTTATTTTCAACCACTCCACTGTTTGCTATGTTTTGCCATGGAAAAAATAGTAATTCCAAAAGTTGTTATGGTGTTCTCCTGGATAGTGCAACATATGCTTCAGTCTACATTAATATGATTTATTTACAGAGACATTATTGTGTAATGAGCATTTAAGCCACTTGTGGAAAACAGTCAATTGGATTCAAATTTCTGAACATCCAAGATCAAGGAACAGTGAGCAACACTTAAATCATCCAAATTTGGGCTGGATGGGTGCTTTTAAGGCAGGGCTGTGGAACTGAGTGAGGAAGGAATAAGTTGTAGCAAAACTTAATTATTTCCTTTCTTGGAATTCTTCCAGAATGATTCTGCCACTGGCCTAAGAGGTATAAATATCTTCCAACAGTCTCTAGCTCTACAGATATAGGTCCTTTCAAAATGGGCAGCTGTGCATCCATAGGGTTGCTTTCTCTTTTTATAGATTTTTAAAGAAAGGAGAATGATAAATAGAAAATTCCTCTCAACTCCACTGTTTAAAATAGAATATCTATCTCCAGACCATTGCAATTTATGATACCTAAGCAGCTGACTCAGACAAGTAATAAAAACTATCTAAAGTTGCAAGCTGTACACATCATCCAAAAATTTTGTTTGCAGTGGAACGCAGTGGGTCACCCTTTCCACAGCTAAAGAAATTGCAACATTTTAATCTCAGAAAGGCAATCCTAGCACTTTTTCTTGTGGCTGCACATTTTTATGATTCCTTTCTAAATTTTCCAAATAAACCTGGAGAATATGAGGTAAAATGAAACCCTCATCTCCTAGCATCTAAAACATGGTTTAAAATCTGCACAGATAAAATGTTTCTGTTTAAGGACCTCTCCTAATAGGAAGTCATCACAGCATCACACAGCTCCTTACCACACAAAGAGGGAAGGCAGTTTTTCTTCCTTGTAAAAAATGGTGTATTTTTTATACTTATATTCAATAAGTATGAAGGGAAAGAAGAGGTCTGACACTCTCAAATATATGCTTGCATTATATGAGATACTGTTCTCCTGAAGAAACAATTTTGATTTTTTCTGTTTTAAAAATGAATTAAAAGAAAGTTTTCAGAACACAAGAGATCTTTGTTAAAACAGGAAGGTGGCACCACGTAAACAGAAAGAAAAGGTTGTGAAAATTTTTTTCAAATCCATGTTCTGCTTATAAAAGGAGCATGTTGAGCTATACAGAGAGAAAAAGAAGAGGCAGAGTGGGATGGGAATTGCATAAATAAACATAGCTGCGAATTTCCTCTCTCATATTTTACACATCAGAATAGTCCAATAAATTTTGGGTGCATATTAGCTTTTTTTTTTTTGCCAGTCTGATAAAATAGGCAACAATTAGTTTGTTTTTTCTCTATTATGTAGTAGACTAACAGTCACTGCTTTTATTATTTGGTTCCTGGATACATTATCATCTTGTTAAAGAGATACTCTGAAAATAGTCAGCAAACCCAAACACACCCACCATTTATGACTAATGAGCAGCTGCTGGTGCTGCTTCTGTACACATGCAAATGGTTGTACTCTACCTTCCCACAGCACTTGGCCTTGTCTATGATCTTCAGGGCAAACTCCTTCCCTGTGGATCTAAGCAAGAAAAACACGACAGCCAATAATTAGAAAAATTGTGGCATTTTCTGTAAATACACCACCGTAACAATATGCTGGGGCCCATGGAGGCTGCTGGCAGGAAATCCACAGAGCAGACCTGGGTTGGTTTTTGTTTCCTCAGCAGCATTTGTGCCTGCTGTTTCCCTGACTACCACAACCCAGCTCCCTTGGTGTACAAATCCCAGGATTCAGCTGCAATTTCTCCTTTGTGACCTGGCACAACTCTGTCACTCCTTTAAGGCAACATGCAAAATCTGCCTTCAGCCTTCCACTCAGCTTTGTTCGACTGGTAGGCTTTGAAAATAAAATCATACATGTGTGAAGATTGATACCCTAATAAAAGAATTCAATAGGATTCAACGGAGCTAAAATGCCATAGTCCATTACAGATAGTCTAAAATCCTGTAGGATTCATTGGGCACTGATTTTGAGCTTTTGTACTGCAAATTTTTTTTTTTTAAGTATTTTGTGGAATTCTGCAGCAGTCATCTAAAGTCCCATGACATTTAACAGGGTGGGTCATATACAAAGTAAAAAAGGATAACTGTTTGCAGCAAACACTCTCACAGAAAGGAGCTCTTGTTTGTCTTTCATCCCTTTAAGCAATAAAAATCTCCATTTCTCCAGATGGGGGAAAATGAGTGAAAAAAAAAGCAACACAATTTAATCTGAAAAAAAAAGATTAAATTATTACTTATATTACTGATGAATTAAATATAATAAGAAATTGCTGTAAGACCAAGTTGCTGCTATTTTGTACTGTGCCAGTGCCTACAGATTCCAGTGTGCTGATGCACACCTCTAGAAAACAGGAGACAGTAACAAAAGCAAAAGGCATCTTTTCAAACATCCAGGGTGATTTTCACTGCATTTGGCATTAGATATAGCTGGTCACAATCAGCACCTTACAGAAAAAGGAGCTGAATTAACACCTAACCTTCCATTTATGCATTATAGAAAAACTGCAGGCGAGAATCCCTGCCCTGGAAGTGCAGCTGTATCTGCAAGGTTGTCATAGTTACAACCTGATCTGGTCTTTAGATAGCAGCCCTTATCTAAATGGTGTCTGTGAAATGCCACCCTCTGATGTTACAGACCCAGAGGAAGATCTGCTCCAAGCACAATGTGGAAATCACAATCACAATTTATACTTTACACCATTCTGTCAGAAATCCTGGGAACAACTGATCAGCAACATCCACCTGGGAACCTTCCTCACCCGTGCTGAGAGCAGGAGGAGTTAACATTCACAAAGCCAATTCACCCAACAACTTCAGATCCCTCTTGCAAACACCCCCTAGTGCAGCACCCATGGAATGAAGGTGGATATAACCCCCACAGTTTGTGTGCTGACATCCCTGCACATCCTGCACCAGCATTGTCTGACAGGTTTCAGGGATTCTTCTCGAGCTGTCAGTGCCCATCTGTTGACTCACGTCTTTATATACAGACACACAGGCACAAAAGAGACCATCTTATTCTTTGCTTGTTCTGTTTGTAGAACATCCCAGCTGGTAGCTGTGTAATAGGATCCTGGCTCCATAGCTAAGGCTTCTTAGTATCACAAATTATGTATAATTAATAGAAATTAAAAGAGAAGCATTTACAGTTGGCATTTCCTCTTTCATCATTATTATTAGCAATTGTTTTTCTATACTTATTTTACATAACATTATTTTAATAATGTTGCACTAAAGCTTTGATCACATACAAAACTAGATATTGAAGTGGAATTGTGCCTTTTTAAAATTTTTATCATTGGAGGGTTGTTTTTCTAGTCCACTTTCCTCATTCTAAAAAGCACAGATGACATTCAGAGACTTAGCAGCCCTTATCCCATTTCCAGTGGGATTTAAGTGGTTTCCAAAATGCACAGCTTATATTTCTGATAAAAAATATGTTATCTTGTGCTTTTAACCTGCTATCTTTCATGAATACCCCTGGGTGAGGATAAGGGCAGTGGAAAACAAAGGAGATGGTGTAGGGGGTGTCTGGGATCACCTGGTTGGGATGTAAGCACTGATGAGTTACTCTGTGGGTAATGATAAGAGATTACTGGATCAATAGCCCTTGCTCCTGTGGGAGATTTCAATTTTCCCAAACATTAAGTGGCAGAGAACCAGCTTGGCTGAGCAGGGAGCTCCTCGTGGTGCTCAAGAGGACCTTTGGAAGCAAGGTGGGGCTTTCAGAGCTGTGGTTGGTGCTTGCAGGGAGAGGAGAGGAAAGGCCAAAGGCCCATTAGGGCTGGAACTGGACATGTTGAGTCACTTAAGCCTTTCTTGAGTCACTCAAGCCTTCCTTAAGTGTGTCAATAGCAAAGGGAGCTCAAAAGAAAACATTGGAACTTGCTGAAGACTGTCACCTGACTAACATTAAGATAAAGCAAAGGCATGGAATGCTTTTTTTGTTTGCCTCAGTCTTTAGTGCCACTGATAGAAGCTGGGCTGCCCAGACTCCTGAGCCTGATGACCACAAGGGTGGGAACAGTGACCTTCCATTTGCTGACACTGAATTTCCAAGGGCAACAGAAGACCCAGGGACCCTGTTAGTCTAATCTCAGTTCTGGAATGAGATGCTTCCATTCCGAATTCTTTTTCTTTCAATTTAACTAAAACCAGCAGGTGAGGATCAAATAATAGAATTTTTCTCTAACATTTATGTTTTCCACAGTCATTTGCTGAGTTTTCCCAGTATTTGCATACAAATTGGAGATTCCTCATAATATTGCAGAAACTGAGATAACTCTCAGGTTGATGAAAATAGCAGAAGGTGGTTCTAAAAAAAATACACTGAGAAAGTGACAGTCAGATCATCTGTTATGTTTGCACTGGCAGCAAATGTGACACAAGTCTTGCAGAGGAGGAGCAGCAGCCCTGCACAGGTCTGTGAAGGTGCCCTGCCTACCCCACAGGGAATCAGGCACAAGGACATTTCAGGCATGTTGGAGGGTTCATTGGAAGTGTCTGGCTCCCCCACACCACCAAACACAAGGAGCAAGCCCAGGGGAGGCACCAGCACAGGCTGATGGCCAACAACTGCGTGTCTTTGAGAGTGCTCTACCCACAGAATGCTGAAAGCTGTGAAAAACCACGTCACAGCAGGCACTGGGGGCACCACAGCAGCAGAACTGCTGAGGCAGAAGGGTGGGGGGGTCTCTCACACTCTGTTTAGATGCCACATAGAATTTCCTGTCATCCACAACCATCTGTGGTGTGAGAGACTTCTTGAAGAGCTGTGGGGTTTCCTGAGGAGGCACCAAGAGAAGGTGATGGCTCCTTTATTTTGTGGGACAAAAATTCAAGGTTCTCTGCTGCTCTCGTACCCCTTTGCTAGAAGAAAACACAGGAAGCTCTGCATGTTTTGCTATGCCTATTTCTCCTGAAGCGTGTGCATATTTTTGCAACTGCTCTTTGCCTTCATCTCATCACATTAGTCTAGGAAATTATGGTAATGCACAGGGCTTTATCCAGTACAAGAAGCAGTAGGACTGAACAGTTTCCTTGCTCACCGTTCCACACACTCCTTTACAACAGCGAAATTGCCATCACCAATCACCTTCCCCACTTTATACTTCTCAAGAATGGTAGATGACCCTGAGAACTTGTTTCCATTCAAGCCTGTAAAAAAATAGAGAAGTCAATAATGCAAGCTGAAGAGAAGTGTCAGCAGGATGCAATATATTCCCAATGGGCTCCACAGACAAAAAACAGTCACAAATACAAAACAAAACTTAAAAGTAAGCTGTTTTCTCTGCTGCAATTCCCTTGGTTTTATCTCAAGTGTAAAGAAGAACAAGATGAACCCAAAGATATTTGACCTTTGAACACACAAATAAGCCTCTTGCTATGTTTTTGTATAGGCACATTCTAAAAGTAATGAATGCAGTTAGAAGTTCTTAATGTAAAATTTTCTGACCTCAAATTACTTTTTTGACTTCTTTTTTTTTGCAAACTCAAAGCAAAAATGCAAATAAGATACAAGCTACAATGCATATAAAAGACCCAAAAAGTTTTATCTGCTGAATTCCTTCAAGTTCTTATAGGTACTCCTAAAACATCCAAAATGCAAGTTATTTTGATAGATACTTATTTCAATATTTTTAAAATGAAAACCATTACTCCAACATGAAATTTAAAAATATTTTTAAATAATTTACTTTGCTGTAAAGAAATGAGGAATGAAAGGTTTAAGTTAGCTAAGGTCAGTTGATTGGCCAGTGGTTCCACCTGAAGCACAATGAGCTCTTTTGAGGAGGGTTCCCCTTTCAATCCAGCCACAAACACATTTCTAGTGATAAAGCAGGTCATGTTCAAAATCAGCCAAATTCCTGACAGCCACTATTGAAGAGCAAGGTCCAGCAAGATGCTACCAGTGGGAAAAAAAAATAATTAACATTTATCTCCTAACTTTACTGCCTTGATGCATGAATTGGGCTAAAACTTTTCCAAGGTGAATCAACAAGGTAACAAACCTCTCCAAACAGAAAATGATTTGGAGTCATCAGAAACCAGCAGAGCTAATGCAAGTGTCACCCAGAGCCAAATTCTGGCAAGGACTGGCAGCAGTTTTGGGTGCCCTACCTTCGGGACTCTGGCAACGGAGAGACTCAGGAACACCATTCACATTGGAAGAGGATCCACCATGTGGGGAGATCTGTGGAAGTAAACAAGAACTTCTGATTTCTGATGGTAATCACAAGGAAGAGCCATACAAAATAGCAGCAAAGTTGAAAAAAAAACCCACTAAAAACACTGATACAGATTCAGTTTACTTTTCTACTCCCATCTTATTTTCACTCTTGTTTTCTCAAAGTTCATCAGCATTGTCACTTGAACCAATTTAAGATTCAGCCACAATATTTCTATTTAGATAAGCAGTTGAACAGATTTCAGTAAACAACAAAGAGAAGTCCTTGCAGCATCACCTGCAGTTTTGGCCTAGGTAGCCAGGTACATCCATGATAATCAGATTTATTTAGCCATCTATCAGGCTATATGTTAGGCTACTATAGATGTCAAGATTTGGACACCTACAAACATTTCAATTTAGATGTATCAGATAGGTATTCAGACACAGATCCAGTTTTAGCAACTGTGACACTGTAAATAAACAAATATCTAAATAATTTTCAAGCATGACAGTTGAATAAAACTGATTTTCCTGCACTAACAGCTTAATTGATGCTGGATTTGAATCTTCATGATTCTACTTTAAGTCACCCTGTCATACTGCCCAGGGATGTAAACGATGCTGTGTTTTTATTTTGAAAAGGGGTGGAGGCATAGGAATGAATGCCATAAATAGTAAAATATACTGGACGTGTTCTGTGCACCATTTTAATAAGCTCTCCTATTACAGTTATGCATAGGGACGCTGCATGAAATTAAAATAAAGTTTAGATCATTCTCCCTCCTCTATGTAACATTTCTTGCTGTTCTGTGAAGTTCCAGACCTTGTTTTCTTCATGGGCCATTATGGTGGTTTTCAGCACTCACCACAGGAAGGATTAAAATGCTTCTCTGCCTTAAGCTCAGTGTCTGTTGAAATGGCTTTTCGAGACACCGGGAATGCAAATGCAGCATTTTGCCTTTTAGCTGACATTGTCTGGTTACACTGCTGAATATTTTAAATCATTAACACTATTGTCAGGGAAAGCACTGAACTGACAGATAGGGATATTGTCTAAAGGCTCATGAAATGCTAATGAATGCTTAAGTTTCTAGTGGCAGCTGAGCTGCCAAATCAGCTAAAGGTACAGTAACTAGAAGCTGTACAACTTAATTTTGCAGAGCCCCCAAAACAACAAAATTTACCAATGTTTAGCACAGAAGCAGCACAAACAGCAAGCAGGCAGCTACTTCTCTGCTCCTTGCTAATCACTTAAACCCAGGCTAAGTAAGGGCTGCTGTCTTTCTGAGTTATCTGTCTATTTAACAGGGATTAGGAACAAGGACATTTGGGTTAAATGACATTTGCACAAAATCATGAGTCAGTCTCTTAACCAGTCAGCCACATTTTCTTCAAGCATGAAGCAGAGATAGCAGAACAGGCCATGGCCAAGTATTAGTCATCAGTCTAAAATATTAGCACTCTATTTTGGGTTTTCAGTGAGTGACAATACATGGGAACATGTAGCCCACATTTCCAACTTCCTTCACTCTTGTAATCAGGGCAGAGCATGACTGGGCACATTCCTTCTTACCACAAGAAGGAAGCAAACATTAACAGGAAAAAAAGCTGAAATGAATACAAAAATAAAATAACATTAATGCTGCCATTGTGGCTGAGGTTTTAGATGAGAATCTGAAATGGCAGGTTTAACCCTTGCTCTGCCACAACTCCACAGCTGGTGGGATTTTATTTTTTAAGGATCCACAGATCCTTCTAAATAAACCCATATTCTCTTGCAGTAGAATGGTACCTTGGCTGGCAAACCTCTGCACTCAGGATTAAGAGTGCCCATGACACGAATGCTTGTGGAAACATTTGGGGATTATTTTCATATTGAAAGAAATACCTAACTCCTTGGCAGCTACTTGGGATGATGGTGAACCTAACTGTGGAATATCAGTATTTTAGTGGAACTGTGGATTAATTTTGCAGAAGTATTCCCTGAAATCTGGGGACACTTTGGTTATGTCACTGTAATTCATCCTGAATGGCTGCAGTGAGAAGGGGCTAAAAGATATTCTGAACATAATTAAAATACTATTTATATAATCAGCGTTTCATAGAGATATTGTATTTACTATTATAATGCTTAATAGTAACATAATGTGTAAGACAGAAACTTAGCATTTTATTTGATCCTTACACATGAATTGTAAATTCACCAAATGCATACCTTAAAGAATCCTCCTATGAACTGCTGTGGCCCCTGTGTCACTACGCTGGATAATCACATGTAAATCATCTTTACATATAACTACACACAAAGCACATGTGTACAACAGAAAAACCTTGATGAAGATAGGCACTAATCCTTCAAATCACTTAAGCACATGTTTAACTTTAAGTACATTAACATCCTCATTGAAGTAAAGGGAACTACTCAATTGCTGAAAGTTAAGCAAGTACTTAAGTTATTTGTTGGATCAGGCTCTAATGCCCTTTCACTTTGGTTGTGTGGTCCATCAATTGCAAAAATAACACCCAAACAAATTCAAACACAAAGCTATTTAGCATAGTTCTGAGTCTACAAAAGGCTTCAACTGTAAAGCCTCTTTATTTGGTAGATTTCATTTTCTTTTTAAAAATATTGCAACACTTTGTAGTCCTTAATTTGAAGAGGGGACAATAAGGCACTCCAAGTAAGCATAAGGAAGTGATGACATCATATTGTATTTCCAGGGTCCCCCATGGCAGGCAGAAATGATTGACCTGACTCCATGTTCACAGAAGGCTAATTTGTTACATTATTCTACTATATCATATTAAAGAATACTATAGTATACTAAAGATTACCGAAAGGATACTTACTGAATGCTAAAAAGATAATAATAAAAACTCCTGACTCTTTCCAGAGTCCCAACACAACTTGGCCCTGATTGGCCAAAGAGTCAAAACAACTCACAGCAGAATCCAATGAAACAATCACCTTTGGGTAAACCATCTCCAGACACATTCCACAGAGCACAACACAGGAGAAGCAAATGCAATAAGAATTGTTTTCCTTTTTCTCAGAGGCTTCTAAGCTTCCCAGGAGAAAAACCCTCGTCAAAGGGATTTTTCCAGAGAATGTGAATGCTACAACACCACTTTCCAAAGTTACACCAATTTTCAAATTTAATTTAATCTCTGGGTGTTTTTTATGGTACAATGTCTGCAGAACAACAGATGTACTGGAAGAGCTAAGAGTCAAATCATGTGTAACAGCTTTGCATGGAAATGTACACTTAGAACCAAAGCAAAATGTTAAACCTTTCCACTGCCTACAGAACAGCAAAAGGACTTCTCTTGGTCAGCTGTCCTGTGACACCAAGTGCACCATTACCATTATTATTAACCCATGCACCAGATTTTATCTCCATTGGAATTCAAAAGAAAAATAAGCAACTCAGCACATTTGATCAAAAGAGAGCACTGCTCAGAGTAGTCGTTTACTTCATGCCCATACTTGTTAACTTTTATATCTAAATTTTCACCTGGAAACAAAGCCTCTGCTGGGCTGTTAAAAAAAAAACAGCTTGAATAAGACTACATAGGGTATTGGGTGCATAGTATCCACATTTGTCGCTTACTGGAATAAAGGCTTTTATTTGGGTTCATGGGGAAATTCCATCATGTTTACTATTATTAAGACATAGTTTAATTCCTGACTTCAATACAACCTCAGAGTCCACTATTTAAAACACTTCTGCAAGCCTGGGATGCTGGACTTACTGTATATACTGAACAATTAATAGCACAAGGGCACTCTGCTTGGAAGAGCTCGAAAGGAGAGAGAGAGACAGCCCTTTCCTTTAAAGATGAACTGCTCACAAGGAGTCTTTCCTGGGAGGAATTTTCTGTGCCTGAACATACCTCTCCTAACAAAAGAGCTGAGAAGCAGAAGGAATCCTTGGGGACTGAAGAGACTTCTCTTTAAAGGAATAGTGGCATTCAGAGAATATGATATAAGATTCAGAGTCTGACACTGCGAAGAAATTCCTGCTGCAGTCAGTATTTCTGCAAGCTGGCTGCCTTGATGACTAGCACTATCACTTATACTCTACATTGATTGTCAAACTACAAAAAGCTTAGCAAGGTTCTAATCTATAGTAAAATATCTTACTCTGCTCTGGCTTTTCAAATAAAACAGCTTTTAAAGTGCAGTTCAAGTGCAGCTGCTCTGATGTTCTGCTCTTTACAGGAAACAGAAACATCAACCCTGATTTTTTTTTCACTTTTTTATGCTGCCTCAAGCTTGTACAAAACCATTATTCAGTCCTGCTGTTTCAGCCTCTACAAAAACAAATATATATGATTTGTGCACAACAAATCACTCAAAATATTGAACTCCCAAAGACAGAAAACTCTAAATACACCTTATTCTGTCACTGAAGTAGTATTTATATCTAAATTTTCACTCAGCTGCAGTCATGGCACCCTCTTTATCCAAGTGCAGGAAGCCAGACTGCCTGTCTGTGCAGCAGTGCAGTCTTAGCAACAAGGAACTATTAAACAATAGGGAAAAGCAATGATCTCCAAATAATAAAATTGTTCCCTCTTCCCCCTTTTCTCTCATCAGAGTAACCAAAAAAACCCAATTTCACAAAAGGGTATATGAATTTCTTAAAAGAATCTGGTTTTGGATAAAACTGTGCCTCGGTGTTACTGGTTTTATGCTTCCCCAAAACAGACCTCATTGGTTTTATGCTTCCCCAAAACAGACCTTACTTCTACAACATAATTGAGAAACAAGTGTGACTGAACAGCACACTTGATCCTTTTGGAATTCCCCTGACAACTTTCCCTGTCTTTTGTCTCAGGAGCACAGCTGGGACACTACTGCTAAACAGATGCATCCTAAAGGATAAAACAAGAGGCGCTCACTACCCCAGTAACACACCAGATCTGAGGGGCTTAATTTGGTTTTGCTGTTCTCTTTGCTTGTATGGGGGTGAACAATTTGACACAAAAACCCATTAGTACCCAGCACCAATTAAATTCCAAATTGAAAACGTACAGCAGCCTATTTGAGTCAAAGTGAATGGGAAAGGGGACATGTCCAGTTTGGTGAGAATTGCTTGCTGCTATCAGAATTATCTCTGCCTTAATGGAGCTTTAATCAGTTAAAAGCAGACAGGGCAGCAGTGGAAAAAACCAAAGCAAATGATCTCATTTCTAAACTTGTAATTTCATTAAAGAAAGACCAAAGAGCATTTGTTAAATATAGTGCAGAGCAGCTGAGAGCCTCAAGCCCAGTGATTCTGGTGTCCTCTACTGTAAGCTCCATAGAGGAGCTGTCCAGACAGATTTTAAGACACACAGTTCTAATTGTCCATGTCAGAACTATTATTGCTCTTGAAAATTATTGAGCCAAACAGCTACCGATATAATTTAAATTAATTTAGAAAATTGAACAATTAAAAAATAAATTAAACAAATAAATTAAAATAATCAAAATCCTTTGTCAGAATTATCACAAGCAGTCTGGCAAAAACCAGTGCCAATACTCCTTGCAAAACAAGACTTGATAACAATTAGCATGTCAAAACCCAAATCTGAGCACTATTCAAATCACGTCCCTTAGCCAGACTCTTAACGGAGAAAACAGTTTTATACAGAATTATGCAGCCTCTTCACAAACGCTGTGCTCACCAATAGGAGCTATTACTTGATCAGAATAATCAGTGCAAACCATCCAGTCTGCTCCCAGAAAGGCTGCAATTTATGATTCCATAAGAAAATTCCCCTTGAAAGGACAGCTGCACAAATGCAGCAACGAGATGCTCCACTGTAGCCCAGAATGTTCCTTTTATTTCAGTGAGCCAAAGGCACAGAGCAGGCTCCAAGAACTGCAAATGCAGCCAGTTCTGAAGTGGGAGTGGAGGAGAAATCTCTTGGTGCAGCACAGAAAAACCTGCCAGGCATGAGGCTGCTCCCAAAGGAAGCCCTCAAACCCTTTCTGGCAGGAGCCTGGACTGAGGGGTGAAACTGGTGCCAGGGAGAAATAACTCTGCTTTAGATGAAACTTGGGCAATGCTACAGTCTATGAGACAATACTGCATTTCCATAGGCTGAAGGGATACAAACTGCTTGGAGGATTTCTGCAGCCCACAGAACAATGGAAAATTTGGAGGACAAAGTGGCATATTTGAGCCAGCACCACACTCTGCCTTTCCTAAGCTGAGTGTTCAACCCCGACAAAACACAAAAATCTTACCTCAGATCTATTCTCCACATTAGCAAAAATCACACTTGCAAGGCTACCCTACAAAATTATGGGTTTTTATTTTTTCCTTCAGCACCAGTGTCACACAGTCACAAAATAATGAGATTTAGGGGGTTTAATGGTTCTTGCACTTACCTTGAGTCCACGAAAGCTGCCTGGGCTTGTTGGTGAAGAGCTGGAGGACTTTGTAGATTTTGGGGTGGATAACTGACTGCTTGGGGTTCCATTAACTGGCCAAAGCAATGAAAGTGAACAAATGAAAGAAAAGATGAATAAAAATCAAAAGTTATTACTGAAGCCTGCAAACATAGACCAAAACAGAGTCCTCAGTATCTAGGAATAAACATATATATTTGCATGTCACAAAACTGCACCCTGAAAATTCACGTGGCTGGATATGGGATCAAGGAGACATGCAAATATTGCATTGTCATTCCAGAGATTAAAAAGACCCATTCTGTCCTTTGCCAGGGCAAGAGTTTTGGGCACAGAAACAAAGGGGAAGAAAAAAAAGCCACAGCCTTTAAAAATTGCATAATAAATTGTGGTATCACACAGTAAAATTTATAGAAAGAAAATATTTCTGAGGATATTTGGCCCTCCTCTTCAGTTTGGATCAAGGCCTTACTTTCTAGGTAGAATGTTTCACAGAACTGGAGTTCTAACAAGAAGAATTCACTTTTTGCATAACAGAAAACTTCAGCAGTAGTTCAGAAAATGTTGATTTAGGGGAAAAAAACTCAACAAGAGAAAAGCTAGTAGGTTGTTTTTGAACTTCAAGTAAGTACAAGTGTCTTTGAAAATATACAATATCCTCCCTCTTGTCTTAAAGAGTTCATTCATTTTAAGTCCAGATTTTTAGACAGGCCTCATACAACATTTGTTATCTCTCTGGTGTATTGAATATTACTTAGGTCAGTCCTTGTATTTTTCTGAAAAGGTCAAACTGACAAATTTCATTATGCAGAGAGAACAGTACACTGTCCATCAGACACAAATATGATGCAATGTTATATGATGAGACATCATTTCTTTTCAGCTGATCCTCATTTTTCATGGGAGAAAAATACTAGGCAGAACTAAAAATGCTTCACAGCATGGTGATGAATTATTTTTCCAGAAAGAAAAGACAACCCTGGTAAACAGAAACTGAGCTTCAAATTAAATAACCTGCACAATTCCCTTACATATTCAGGTCTGTCATGGGTTATACATCACTTCTTAAACTACTGGATTTATTTTACAGGACCCAACACACTAACATTATCTGAGTGTGGGAGATGCCTTTCCAGGACTGGGCAGCCCATCTGCCACTAGGCCAGGCTGACTGCACTGCAACTTCCACAAATCCCTGGTTTTCACCAACATCTCCTTCTCTGGTGTATGATGTTAAGATATAACTAATTGGTGGTTAGCTTTTCTATAAGTCTATCTTGAAGTCTGATAACTTGGATTTATATTCCCAGTTCCAAGACCAGACACCAAGACCTTAGTATTTTTTTTAAAGTATTCAGTGTATTTAGGATATTTTCATCTTGAATTTAACAATGTTTGCCTGTAAGAAAAATAGGTGATATTAAGGGGTTTTTTTGTTTTTTTTTTTTTTTAAGAAGCTGAAAGCATCTAAGAGTACACTACCCTCCTGTAGATGTTAACAATTCATTCTGGATAACCAATGCACCCTTGTTTTAGAAGGAATTTACAAGTGTGACAATGGCAAGGGCTAATGACTGCTATCTTACTGTTTTCTGCTTCTTGCATGACCAAAAATGAGACACTTGAGTAGAAATGTCTTAGAGTTTGCTTCCACATGACAAACTAGTACCACAGGAGGAAAAATATTTTTTGTTTGTTCGAAGATTCTTTTATACAGCTCACAGAAAAGTCACTACCTCCTGGGCATGACCACTGTAAGGCATCCTTGTCCAAGTCACTACCATCCTCTTTGGCAGAACCACTAAGTTGTTGCAGTGAAACTGGCTGGTTTAACACGACGTGCTTCCCTCCCAAAACTGTCCGAGGAAGAAGAGCCCAGATTACACAGACAGCACTGCAGCTCTCTGCTAACATCTCAGCTATTCTTGGTGGAGAAGGGTGGTGCTCTGAGCCAGGGGTGTGACTAGATGACACCCAGAGGTCTGTGCCTCTATGGAACACCCAGTTCATTCTGCTGAGGATCCTGCTGCAAAGAGCTGCCTGCAGATTCCTCTGTGCCAGTGCCTGTGGAGGGCACTGCACTCAGCTGCCAAGCAACTGCAGCAACAGAGAGAGCTGCAACTGGCCCTGTCCACATGTAAGGATTTTGCATCTACAGGGAGTCAGCCAACTGCTTGTGCTGACTCTGGCTGGGATGCAGTTAATTTTCTTCACAGCACAGGGCTAAGTTTTGGATTTGTGCTGGGAAGTGCTGCTGATCCAGGGATGCTCCTGTGACTGCTGAGATGAGCAGCATTGAGGCCGTTCCTGCTCCTCATGACCTGAGAGGGGACACAGGTGGAATAATCCAAGGAACATTGCAGGCCAAACAGCATCATGCTCAGCAGTAAAATGAGAGGGAATGCTGGCAGAGGGGACACTGCTTGGGGACAAGGTGGCATCAGTGAGCTGCTCATTCACATCACTTGTTGTTCTTGGGTTTTATTTCTCTCTCTTTGTTATTTTCACTGCAGCATCATTGTTGCTAACACTATTGTTACTGCAGTTATTAAACAACTCATATCTCAACCCATGAATTTTCTCACTTTCACCCTTCAAATTCACTTCCAGAAGTCAGGAAGTGCCATAAAATTCACTGCATGTGTGGTGCTTAGTTGCTGGCTGAGGTTGAACCATGACACTGCTATTTCAGACAGGAGCATTTTTTTTCCTTCCCTCACTCAATAACCCAACAATCTGTATTGGCACAAATCTGCTGCTATGGATTTGCTGGTTGTTGCCCATGTATGTCAAACTCACCTTTTTAATCTATTTTCTAAGCATAAATTATTTTGATGTTTCTTTCCACATGCATACCAGTGAATACATAGGAAAAAAAACCCCAAACTTTTCAGTCATTCTGAAGTAGTGCATGTTAGGCTATATGTTTGGCACACTGGAATGTTTAAAATCTATGAATAACTTCTAAATTGTTTACTTCTAGTATGACCCAAAGACTTAATTTATTTTCTAATTAATTTGTATGTTACTTGTTTCACAAATGCTTTGACTTTGAACTGAAAGTTCAGCGATTCCTCAGTTATTTTAGAATTTAGGCCAGAGTGATACAAGAAAAATAAGAAAAATAAGAAATTGCACATAAAATTGAAACACATGAGATGGTTTTGCATTTCTTTTTTCAATATTCTCACACCTGTCTTTTTGCTGGCTGAAATTTTCTATTGTAATATGCTTTAGAATAAACATACAAATGTATTGCTCCTTAGAATGATCTCTACTTGTAGTCAAATTGTACCTTTAAACATTTAACTTTGACACCATTAGTGGATGTCCAACAACTGAAAAGCATTATTTCACTGAAATTATCTACCTCAACAACAACAAAAATCCAACACCCATTACAACTCTGTTCCATCCAATGCAAAATGTGTTTCAAGCTTGAACACACTCACAAACACAGCACCAAAAATACAGGTAAATGGAGAGGGAGGAGACACACTAGTGATACACAGCCATAATAGTAATGGCTCACCTGGGGATTTTGCTGAAGAATGAGCACTGGAGTGGCCACCCCTCTTTACTGTACTCATATATTTGACACAAAGGAAAAAGACATTAAGGGAAGAAGTTATTAAACAGCTCTCAACATGCACGGAAGGAAGAAAGGTAAATAAAAGATAAGTAAAGACTACACGTAAAAAAAATAAAAATAAAGGCAAGTAAATAGAAGGATAAATACCACACACTTTGCATACATTTTCCAAATTAACCAAACCAAAGAGGGTCTAAGTAGAAATAAGTATGGGAATGACAGCACTGATATCTAAATATTTTGCATAAAATTCACTGCTGATAGATATTCTACATCTCATATCTCTGGAAGTAAAAGAATTGCATGAAATGTAGATCAGTTGCAAAATTTGCCCTTCACGATACATTTTTCTGCAATCCTCCTTTGAAGCTTTCCAGTTAAACATTCAACTTCTATAAACAGATTATTAATGTTCCACTTTGAAAAAATCCAATGATAAAATGACTTTAACCAGCACTAATTAAGCAAAACAAATGTGGAGATGAGAATATGGAACATGTCACAGTTTTGAATACACACAGAAGCTTACATTTATAGCTACATTCAAAAAAGAACATCATATATTTACATATTCAATAGTTTGATTTCAGGGGCAAAAGAAGTATTTAAAAATGAAATTCAGTGGTTAATTTCTTTTAAAAAAACAAGTTTCTCCCTTTATTTACATAAAATGGTTGGAACATATGGTGTTCAGCCAAACTGGTGGCAAAATCACAGTGTGAACACCTCTCTTTGAAATTACAAGAAGCACAGGAAGAAAAATTCTCTGTTAATAGGCAATCATAGTACAGTACATCTCCTAAAATTACTTGAACCAGCAAAGGCCTGTATTTCTGATAGTATTTGGCTTATATAGGAGAAACCTTTCTAATTCAAAATTTAAGGGTATACACTGGTTCAATGAACATGAATTTAACCACATCTATAACCCTGCAGTTAATAGTTTTCAGGAAAATCAAGTGCCATGCTCAAAACATATCCCAAGAGCACAATTAGCACAAATTACTCCAATGTTCATAAACTGAAACTACATGTGCCTGTAATTAAAAAATAGAAACCATGCTTCTTCCTTGGATTTAAAAAAATAAATTGCAGATTTCTTTTAGATTAGCATCAAATCTGTGAGAGGCAAGATGAAAAAAGCGGTTTTTCCCCCTCTGGAAACACTTGTATTACAGACAGACGCAACAGAATTTTTCACCCCATTAGAAAAGAATTAATTTTTGTGTATTTGCTGTGTTCAGCTCTTTGCCAGCAGCAGTACCTGAGGCAGGGGATTTGCTCCGACGGGAAGGTGCTGGGCTTTTGGATGCAGCGTGCCTCACGGCAGCGGAGCGGGAGTACGACTTCATGACACGGCATTCTGCAAGGCAAGAAACTCTGTCAAGGGCTTTGCCAACATCTCATGCACAGGCTCCCTCCACACAGCATCCAGATAATTACCAGCACCTTCTAAACATCTCTGCCCAGCTGAGCCAAACAGATTTGTAAGAGCATCTCACAACCCTAACCTACTCACCATAAAAACCCGTTTGAGCTACGCAATGTGACATTCTGCAGACAATATTTCTTCATGTCTTGAGGCTGGATTATTGCTGCAATTCAAGTTTGTACATATGCTGATGCCAAGGTTCTTGCTGTAATGGCACTTCCACACTGGGCAACTGCCCAGCCAGCACTATTTCCCTTCTTCTTCAAGAAACTGATGCTGTGACCAATTTTTGAACAGGTGAAAAATGCTTATTGTTTCCAGAAGGCTGAAACAACAGACCACTCTCTACATATCATGAAATAACCACCTCAATGGGAAAGTAATCAATGAGCACACATGCATTGCCATTTTGGTAACATTTTATTCCCTATGGTTAGCATCATTAGCAAATCACTCCCAATGGGATCATAAATTTCTCTCCTTATTTTGTCCCTGGTGCCAATGCCATCATTAGGATGCCATGTCATCATAAAAAAATTAAGTTGAGCTGCATGCCCTGCCAGTCCTGTATACAACCTGCTTCTATCCATAAAGACCCTAGAGCTATTAGAGGAAGCAAGGACCACCAAAGCTGAAGAGATAAAGGAAAGAAAGAAGAAAAGGCAAGGAAATGAGATCAACTAGCCTGTACTTTGTGTAATGGGAAAAGCAAATTTACAGCCTTAAAATCTGCTAGGGAAATTAGGATTATAGCCAGACTGGGATTTGCATTGTGATTCAATACAACCATGCTCTTCCATTCCTTCTTAAGAATAAAGTAATTTTTTAGCTGTTAACTATGTTAAAAAACACCCTTTTGGTCACCCCCACAATAACTGACTCAACATAATCAAGCAGTTCTGGAAAAGCAGCAGCCTAGCAAGAAGAGCAGAATGGGAGGCAGTTGAATCCTCCATCCATCCAAATGTACAGCCAGTGGGCAGATATACATCTGTACTTTCTGCTGCAACTGAGTGTTTTGTAATGAAATAATGATAATGATGTGTGTAAAAATTACAGGAACAGAAGGTGTTGTTGTTTTTATTTTAAAAAAATTTAAACCCTTCATTCACAATGTGAAGCTCTTCTGGAATAATCTGATTATTCTTGCCAGGGCAAGTTTTCTTTACAAGAAATTAATTTTTTTTTCATAAAAGAAAATCAGGGTGTTTGTACAGCTCAAACAATAAAGAAAGAAAAAAACATGTCTAGTAGGGCCTGTAGTGATAGAAAAAGAGGAGTGGTTTTAAAGTAAAAAACCCTCTAGATTCAGGCTAAATATAGGGAAGTCATTTTTTATTGAGCAAGAGGTGAAACACTAGAATAGGGTGCCCGGAGAGGAGATAGATGTCTCACCCCAGGAAACATTCAATGGAACTCTGAGTAACCTGAGGTTTTTTTTTTTTTAAGGTCTTGCCAGGAGTTGGACTACATAGGCCCTTTAAAGGTCTTTTCCAGCTCAACCCATTCTACAGTTGCATGAACATGGAGGAAAAAGACCCAAGATCTTTAATATTTGATGCTTCAAGACAATTCCAAAACTCTCTGGTAGAGGACTGCCTCATCCTTGAACTTACATTACAAAGTTTTTCTTTATGGAAAAACAGCTTTCATAAGCAAGTTCAATTCATGATCTGCCCAAGGCAGACAGAAGGGCACAAAGTTCCAGATTATCTCACCTCCTTCCCTACCCAACAACCCCTATAACCTCAAAATATACACAAGGCCAACACTTGGTCTATAGCAGACAAGACTGGAGTGTATGAATTGTCTGGCAGGGTAATTCAAGACTGGAATTGAGCATGGCTACATATGAGATTTTTCAAAAAATCTCATGAAGAAAGCAGTATGGAAATTATCTTACAGTCACAGATGCCAAAAATGAACATCATTAACAGATTTTAGATTCATTAGATCCATGACAGAACATTTTATAATTCAATTCTGCTTTCCATGTAACTTTAGGGACAGTGTCTCTTCTGGAGGAATTTGGATCAGGTTTGTTGGCACATTTTAACAGGCTTTCAGAACCCAGACGATGGTTTGGAAAAACTTTTTTATCCATTGGAAAACATCCTCCCATGTCTATTTTCCTGAATCACACCATTCTTGAGGGTTGAAGAGGGGAATGGGATGGAGCATTTCCTGGTTGAGTGGGTTCAGGACGTGCAGCCTTACCGCTGTGATCCAGCACGAAGTCATCCTGAGCATAGCGGTACTTCTCCGGCCCGCACGCGATGAACACGTCGTCATCGCCAAAGAAGTCCTGCAGGCACGTTACCTGCACAGCAAAATAAACACGCTCACTTTCAAAACTAAATCTTGAGTTAGACAGCAGCAATCAATAAGTTTGTCTTTACCTTCTCACAGTGATACCTTAACATTCATTTGTACTGACAAAGCACTCCAGTTCCTCAGCACGTCAGATCTCTAGCAGTGCAGGAAACACCGGGGCCAGGAATGTGAAATATGACTGCCCCTTACCTCCAAAAACTCTTACATTTAGCACCTGTATTTTTGCTCATAGTTACATAAGCATGCTGATGACTTCTACCTATAACTGCACACACATTGCTTTGACAGGAACATCTGAAAACACTATTCAAATATCAAAGATTCATGCATTAAGAATACATTAATTGCTTGTGGGAAGATCTGTTGAATTAAAGTGATTGCATCTGCAAATTGTTTTTTTTATGTTCTGAGGCATTTAATTTCCATGTTTTAATGTCCTGCTAAAATAAAATCATGAAGTAATTCTCCTTTTTATTAAAAAGTATTTCATATTCAAGAAAATAAAGAAATAGAGCCCTTCCATGCTCTTTGCAGTTGTCTGTTCTTAATTATATGGGTAATGATTCTACTTGGATAATGATGTTATCCAAGTAATGTATGTCAAGAAGGATTGGGATATCAGAAAGAAAAGATGGTTTAGACATTCTCTAAAAGCACTAAACCAAATACCTTGAAAAAATCTCCATCCTCAAAAGTCGATAAAAATCACCTTGTGGAGGAGTGTCTGCTTTCAAAACAGTTAAAACAAAAAAGCTACAACAAGAAATTTCACTCATTCTAATTCCCTTGTGAGAGAAACAGGTGTTTGCAGGAAACAAGCGATTTTTAAAGATGTAAACAGATTAAAATTTTAATGTATAGTTGTTCCCCTTTTTTTTTTAAACATTGCATGCCCACATGAAATTTAGTAGTGGAAGTTAAAATCATTTGGTAAAGCCATGAAATCAAAGAAGTAATACAATAATCTGCTTTTAGAGGAACCAGCTTTTTTCTTTCTCAGATACCTGTCAAGACCATTTGCATATTTCACCCACTGTGGTCACAGCAAACACCAGCAGAAGCACAGGCAAGGCTCTCTGGTGCCTGCAGTATTCCAGAGCCGCTCAGAATTCCCGAGCTCTGCACAGGAACTCCAGCACAGGGCATTCCCCACCAGCACTGGGGTTGTCATGGCAGCTCCCCCAGGAGAGCAGCCAGATCCCCAGCCCAGAGCCACTCACAGCATCCAGCATTTGTGTCACTGTGCCACGCAGCCAAAGGGCCACAGCCAGCACCAAAATCCTTTCACTGCCCCCTTACTGATGCAGGGACAGTTTGGTCTCATTATGAGAGAGATTTTCAGCTCTGCCAGAAACTGCTGCTTTTAGTCAGCCAAAGAGGCACCAACAACTGGATACAAAAGGCTGCACAAATTTAAGAGAAGTTTTGCCAACTTGGGATTTATTCCTCTCTGCTTAATAAACAAGAGGACTCGTCATCATTTCCACAGATTTCTGGAAACCAGCAACCAAGGCAACAGGAAAAGCTGTGAGAAAGCTTCCAGAACACATCACACTCACCCAGAACACAGCAGCGCTGGCAGGGCATGGGCAGAGATGTTCTGTGAGGTGCAAGCCCACACTCCAAGTCCCTAAGGCTGGGAGCCATCTCCACAAACTCTGCCTGCCCACCACTGCTCCTGATGCCCTTGCAGTGCTGTTTCGAGCAGGCTGGAGTTAAATGCTGTGGTTTAGAAGTGCCTAAAATTAATCTTTCTGTTCTGATTGAAAGCCTCACCTCACCTCACCCCTTAACCCATCCAGTCTAACAGCTGAACTGAGAGTAAAGGAGGAAGGAATGACAGATTTTATGTCAGAGTCTGGGAAATACACAGGGGTATAATGCAAGCAGCAGCATCCCTTTGTTGTCTGCAGAGCAGTTCTACAGAGTGAGGCTCAGATCTGTGCACATAAGATGACAGGAGCACCCTTAGAAATGCTCCGGAAAATCCGCTGAAAACGGCTACTAGGAGTGGTAATGAATAAGGAATTCTAAAAAACGTGTAATTCCCACATATCCCTCCTCACATGTTCATGTACATAGAGCTTCCCCAGGCAAAAATACACAGGAGTAATCCTGAGTGCCAGTGATGAGATAAGCTGCTGAAGGTGAGACACAGCACCTGTATCTTGGAGCTCAGGCTGAGGGCAGCCTCTGCCTGCTCCCACACGGTGTGCCTGAGCCTGTGATTCCCACCTGGCAGTCACACACCATGACACATTGCTGTAAAAGTATCCACCTTACTGTAAAAGTGTTAAATACAACTATAACTGAAAGCCAGATAAACACTGCTATAAGAAAGCTTTTCTCAGATGCTTGCTATATTCCAACTGGGAATACTCCAAGTTTCCCTTCTCCCCACAAATATTTCAGAGTGGCTACACCTAAAATACACAAGAATGAGAAAAGTATTGAACAAGTGTATGCAGCTTAGAATAAAGACCTGCTAAAATTTACCAATCCCAAATCACCCCACATTATGAGGTGAGGAAAGCATTTTCAAAATTAAATTCATGGAAATGCATTTTTTATAAAAGCACAACCTAATAGTTATTTTTCTAGGCTTTTACTGTAATAAAGTCAAGTGAGGATTTCTCCAGGTGCAAACTGATGTTAAAATGAAGTCTTCATCTCCTACAGAATTAAAACAAATGTATACACAGCAAATAAAAGATTTTTGCTCAGTGTTCAAAAAATTACTGAGTTGAAATTATTAACTTGTTTGCATGTAATTTTGAATGCTGCTAGTCCACCATGGTGTAACTCACAAATCACATAAGTCCATTCCAAAGAATATCTGAACTTAGGTCAAAGGAGAGGGGGTTTTATTACTTTAATCAGGATGCAATCAGTTCAGAAATTCATAAACAAAAAAATCTTGAAAAGTGGGGTTTTTTTAAGTTTCATCAGCTGTGGGATCTGTGCATATGAATAGGACGTCAGGTATTCCAGAAAGTTAGGGAAAGGCGTAGTTTATCAAACTAGTGTACAATAACGCTGCTTCTCTTTCCACTATCCATCCATAGTCTTACCCACTCTTTGTTTTGTCCCACTTAGTGCTGAAAGCACTTTTCTGTTGACTTTGCATGTTTCAATTAACATGTTTAAAATGTGTTAAACCCTATTTATTTCTAAATGCAACACTCCCAGACAAACATTGCCTGTGACCTGGTAAGTCCACTGCTATCCCTTTCTTTAAAACAAGAAATGACTCACTGGTGCTCCTCTGACAGCTCAAGGCTGCTCAGGTTGTCTTGCTGCTCTGCTTTTCTTCAAAATATGTCTCTACACACAGCAGAGTGGAGAATGTATGAGTGAGACTGCATTGGTTTCGTACTCAGTCCTTCCCTCAGAATCCTTTCACTGGCATTCTCTCCACAGCTTTCTGAGACCATGGGCAACCCACTCAGGGCATCCCTGCCTCTTGATGGGCTCAAAAAATACCCCAGCTGAAAGAATGAAATCTTGAGACACCGGATGAAGTTTCTGACAAACACAAAGACCTCTCTTAGAGAGGCACACGTGAGTAGATATGCACTATGTTACAGGAGTGTCAGGTGTAACAACAGCTTGTAAGACAATTACTGGTCAATGCACTACAAAATCTACAGCTAAAGGCACAAAAATGTGATTTAAATGCAGAAAAAAACCCCCACAAACATGGGGCATTGAAAAAGAAGGGAGAAAAACACATCTCTGAAAAATCATATTCCTGATCCACTGCTGTCTACTAGTACAGTGCTTTAATGTCACATACAGCCATCTTACTTACCTTCCACAATAGGCCTATGTTTCTGACAAACATTTAAAACCAAAGAAGTTTGCTCTTTTTAAAGAAATACTCCTTCAGTCAGGTCAAGCTAGTGGAATAGAACATACAAATTGTCATTCATATGGAAATTCCTTTCCCCTTATCACCACACATGCCTTGAAATGTGATTTACATCAATCCCTACTTCCACTGCATCTAACAAACAGAAGGTACATTCCCTCCAGAAAAAGCATGAATAATGATCAACTGTTTATAAATAGAATTCATCATGTACTTATTAATTGCCCATTATGATAAAGATACAATGGGAAAAAAAATAAAATAAATAGATGAAGGTTTATCCAGAAAATATTTTTCCTCCAATTTCCAGAAGAAAAATACTTAAAAAAAAGAGAGGGGCAGAAAGCGAGAGAGAGAGAAAGATTGAGAAAGAGTGTGTGGAGCCAAGGAGGTTTTATAAACACTTGAAAAATTCCTGGAAATTCAAATTCCCAGAAATCTGTAGCACTCAACAGAGTTCTGTGATCATATATCAACAGCCCCAGCCAGGAGCTTGGTGGGTAAACCGTCTCTATCCCAGCTCCACAAATGTGCTTCATTCTAAACATAGAAGGAAGGGCTATAAAGACAAATAGTTTGGCTAAATTTACTATGTCTGACTCCATTGAAGTAATCAGCTACAGAACTGCACAGTTTAAGCCTGAAGAGCCACACCCTGTGTCTGGGGAAAGCTTCTCTGGATGACAAATTCTCAGCACAGCTGAAAATGGATCTAAAACATCAAAACTGGAAAAAAGTATGAGAGATTATTTGTATTTGTTTTAACAATGGAAGAAATACTTGTATCTACTGATTTCAAGAAAACAGGATATGGTGTAAATATTTTAAAAAGGAAGCACAGAACATACAAGGCAGAAAGAAAACTAGGAAAACTAGCATGCACAGCAACTGCTGGATTTGTGAATGTATTTTCAGCTCAGCAGCTGAGACAGGCATTTGAGGCTGAAATTCTTCAAGGACTACAGTGGTTTATTTTCCCCATGAATTGCTGAAAAAAATGTGAACAATTTTTTAAACATCAGCATGACAAATCTAGATGCAAGCTCCCTGCTACTGCCTTAATTGTGAGGAGTCTCCACATTTTTTGTAGGAAATGCTGTTCCCCTGACTGGGAC